CTGCGGTCTAACCAACAACATAATCGTCAAAAGTTGATAACAAATCTAATATCGATTAACATCCTAAAAAAATTACCATAGCCATATCAAGCAAAAAGTCACACCATTTAAAAACTAAAGTTCAAAACATTTTGATTCCCAATTGATCTTGAACCAACAAAGGTTCAAGTGTGATGTGAATGTGTGATATATTTAAAACCAAAACCCCAAAAGTCCAAAGAGATTCTACAAGAGTGAGAATGCATGCTAGATTTTTTTTCTTCCACTCCCTCCTCCAGTCCTCCTCCTCCTCCTATATTATTAATTTATTATTTTTATTTAGCAGGTATTAATTTTGAGAATTGTTATTGGCATTTCAAATTCCTCATTTTACCCTTCAAAATTTCTATATTTAAGAACAAAAATACTTTTGTACGGAATGTACAATAAGATTTTTGAAGTGTTAATAACTCTTTCCTTAATTTTTTTATGCTAACATATAAATTTTGTCCCTGCAGGCACAGTTTCCTATCCCACTTCACTTCTTTTATCTAAATTTTACCCCCATCAGCATTTCTTTGACCGTTACATTTGACCAGTCAACTAACTTGACTAATCAATCCCCATGTTTTCATTCCCATTTTAGCCCCACATTTCTTCCCTGGCCCCACCGCGATGTCTGCAGTTCACACCAAAAGTGCTATGCTGCTTAACCTGTGAAAACTACATTGTAGTCGCAGGTACCGGTTGATAGTACGAGATGTTTAGTTGTTGGATTTTAGGTCCTAAGATTTTTGGTTGCATACATTCAATTCGTTTGTGATATGTCGTATATTTTGTAGAATTATCGATTCAACCATACCATCCATCGTTATCATATACAAATTTGCAGCTGAAGCAGTTAAACGTATTTATTCATACACAAGAGAAATGATGAAAAGACTCTTTAAAAAAATGAGACTCTCCATAAACTGACTGCCACCTTCTGTTTTTTACACAATATTTTATAATTTTATTGCAAAAATTGCTGTTAAACTGTTGGATGACATGGCGTACATAAAAAGTCACAATTTTGATAGAATCCAGTTACTATTTCTCTCATACATAATTACACTCAAATTCCTATGTTTGGATTCCCTTCTATCCACATGATTTGTGTGAAAATAAACATTTACCATCGAATTAATATCCTATTTAACCCTAATTTGCCTATAGTTGATTGTAAAAATGCTTATCAATGTTCTTGAAATAGAATTTGGAGCCAATTAAGGGCAAAAACTTGTTTCATAGGATCCAAAGGATAGACCATGGACTGGTCTCGATCATTGTTTGTTTATTACTTTGTTTCTGACAGATAAAAACATGCAAATTATAATTGAAATCTTGGTTGGGAACATTGTGTTTCCCGCTAAGTACTGCAAGAATCTTGGGCCATACACATGTAAAGATGGCTCGATATCAACCGTTAGATTATCACTTGCATGTGGATAACAAAATAGGGACTATGATGCTTAATATAAATTTGTTTAATAAAACAAGCCAATTAGTGAGCTAATAATTTAGATTAAGGAATGATGACACTAGCTAGACTTTAATTCTAGAGCAAGAAAGTTGCTGTTAGACCGTGAAAAACAACAAGAAATGATTTCAATTTCATACGTAACATCCAAACTCGCCCTTATAATCATGTGTGGTTTTGGTGTTATTAGTTTTTACTATTAAAAAAATACAAAAAAATAAAAAGAAGAATTTGTTTGGTGTTTTGTGAGAGTGAGAAGGGCAACTTTATTTGGATTAGGTCCACAGGCGCATCGTTAGGAACGGAGTTAAAAATTTCTTCTAATAGAGGCCATCCGATAAACAACTAAGAAAATTTTATTATAATATGGTTTATACCCAAATATGATAATATGGATGATTTCAAATGATGACGTACCACAATTTCAATGTTACAAAAATTTCAATATAGTAGTGAAAAGTGGCAAAGTGATGAAAAAAATATTAATACATGATAGGTGGGAGAGGGGTTTTTCGGTTTGAATGACATAACAAAAGCACTTTTGCTTACAATATTTGATACGGACTATAAGTAGTATGAATGTATATTAGATATTAGATACATATATTTTCTTCATAGATAGCACGTGTATATTATAATTATAATCTGCAACAAAACAAACAAATTACTTCAATATGGGCATCTGCCCCCAATGAACCTTCGTTAGCTCTGTCTATGCGCATCGTTATCTAATAACACAATATCACTTGTTATCGTATCATGCTATTAGATCGAGAAAACACTGTGATAATAAGACGGTGTACCAAATATAAGCCATCGATAATTAAGCATTGGTTTCAAGAAAACGGGCAAGTCTCGCACTTTACTGGGAAAAGGAAATAAAACTGTACTGTTTATTTTTAAGATGAGCATGTCATTGTTAGTACACAAAAAACATATATGTTGCAGAAACCAAGAACTTTCCTCAATAGAAGCAGATAGTAATTACATTTGTTTAAGTTATTGGGCATAGCAAAAAGCCAAGATTTTGGTTGTTGAGCTGATATTTGATCTGATCTGGGCCCCATATTGCACCTTTGCAGGCTGATGTTGTTTAAGCTAAGAAAGGTGCATGGATTAAGAAAAATGTTCTCATGTTATGTAGTTTTATAGAATGTGAATATGAATTATTGATCATGTTAATTTGATCAACAACAAACATTTTTATGATACAGTTTAGTCTTCATGTTTATGAACTATTAGCTTGTTGATATATAAGACTCCATTTGCCTGAAAAGATTTTACGTGTTGTGACATTAGTGTTATAAAACCACATTCTGTAACACGTATTCTTTTAACTAAAACAAACACTAAAATATGTACAAATATGCAGTCCAATATTATAACACAATAAATTAGTAACCGTACGTAGAATTGATAAGGTCACATAGACAAAATTTCTGCTTGCCCAAACAACCTTAGGAAACAAGAACCAAGAAGAATATGGTAATTTAAAGCACTCTAATATATTGGGAGAGAACTCAAACTCATATACATGGTTTACACATTGTCCTGCCCAATGAGTCTTTATTTGATATTCATGAATTAATTCTGTTTTTTTTTTCCTTAATTATAAGTGATATCTTTATTCTAAATTACACTAAGGGAGGGAAGGGGTTTAAACGCAAGATGAGTGGGACAAAGAGTAAGATCATATTCACCTGAACACTTCACCACTCGTCAAATTCATTTTTCTTCTTCATTAACTTTTCGTCCAATGACCTAATGATACCAATCGAGTTAATGACATTATAGTTGTATTGTGTGTAATAGAGCTTCTCCAAAGGGAAGATGCAAATTTAGGATGTAAAGCCACATTACATCTCATTTTATATTTCTCGTAGAGGCACATTTTAGTGCTCGTCTAGTGGAAGAGATATAGATTTAGTATCTCATTTGTTTTTCTCTCTTTAACCAGTAGAGTCCACCTCAAAACATGAAAAAAGAAATGTAAATTTTACATTTTTATTTACGTCTTCTTACTTGTCAAGATAAGTGTTTTATATCTTTTCGATTAGAGATATTTTCGACCAACAAAAAAAATAAAATGCGCATTCCAAAGCATTTTGCATCTTGCATTGGAAATGCACTTACCAATAAAATGATCTATGGGTTTTCAATTCAATAGGCGAAGTCCACACACATTAATCAATGGTTGTCAAACATGGTTACACACATTAATCAATGTTGTCAAACATGGTTACACACAGAATAAACCAAATACAAATAATTGCCTTACAATTGGACATAAACACACACACACACACATGCCAAAGTAGGCGTCAAACAAGTACAGAGTACAAAATAATGGTGGTTAAATTATAGTGGTATTGCTTTTAGGGTTGATTAGGACTTATCAACAAAATATTGGACCACAAGTACCACAAGACCAACAAAAAAAAAAGAAAAATTCTACCTACCTATTTCTTTTCCTCTTTTATCTTAAAACACAAAAATCCCTCTCTAGGTAGCTATGGCTAGCTATGAACAAAAGAAGATAAAATTTTGACCTAAAAAAAGAAAGAAAAGAAATGCTAACAGATTTTCTCAGAAGTCTGATTCTCCAATTTTCATAGGTTCTCTGACACATCATATTTTTCGTATAATTTTTTATAAAAACGGTAAAACAATTAATATTAAACTATATTGTGTCAAAGAATTAAAAAAGAATCTTACTTTAGCATTTCTAAAAAAAATTAATAAGAAGAAAGGAAAAGAAAAATGAAGATCCTCATTCTCTATCTCCTTGTGTCTGTGTCACAGTCACCAGTGTTTTCCTGTCCCAAGCATCATCACACAGTCCACATCATAAGAACCTTCAATCAAGACAACCGCAATAAAAAACAACAGCTATTCACAATTAAGATATCAAATAAAAAAAAACAAAAAAACAAAAAAACAAAAGAGTTTTAACTCCCTCTCAGTTCACTAATAATTATGAAAAATCAGAAAAAAATTTGTTTTATTACATGTTTTGATGTAATAATACAATGTCATATGTACAACGAGAGAATGAGCATGTAATACATATAAGTCATTCTTGTGTTTGAGCTAAAAATAATGAATAAAAAAGTATATTATTGTCCTCTGTGGCACATCCTTCACCACTACAATCCAGAATCGCCTACCCAAATCTCTGTTTTTCTGGGTTTCTAACAATTTATAATATTTGTTTTATAAAATTTTACACGAGGATTGTGCAGCAGAAGTCTGCAGGAAAACGAGTGACGACTTCGAGGAGGAGGCGAGGAACTGGGGTGAGCGGTGGATATACTTATGGCCGGGAGGGGGCGCGGTTAGTAATATGAAAAAATTGGAAATAGTAGAAGTAGTGGTGGAGGGGACCCGCAAAATAGTTGCCGCCACGCGAGAGTGGGACCCACAGGAGAATTGGATGGGAGAGTAGCAGCTAAAGCCTAAAGCTAGTGGGGGCTGGCGCAGCGGAGAGACTGTTAGGCGTGTTGTGGTGGCCTCGTTCTATATATGAAACCGTTGCAGAGCACAGGAGGAGGGACTCGAATTTTCTCAACCCACCCACCACATACACACAACTCACACACTTTCTCTGCGTGCAAGCCAAACCAATATCCAACCTCATCGATCATCTCCCTTCTTGTACGGGATCAAAACCCCATCTCTCTCTCTCTCTCTCTCTCTCTCTCTCACTCTCTAGATTGGGTTTGTTTTGTTATATATTGGATTGGAGAGGTAGGGTGGTGACTTGAGCTTCTCTATTACCTCACTCTGCCTGTGAATCATCTCTCTGCCTATACCAAAAACTCTCTCTCTACTCTTCAATATCCCTCTCTCTCTCTCTCTCTCTCTCTCTCTCTCTCTCTCTCTCTCTCTCTAAAAAAACAGTGTTTTTCTTGCAAATCGAGGAGTGTTTGATTGATTGCATGAACTGATGGATCCGGCAAGTGGACAACAACAACACCAGGTAGGATATTTCATGAGAATTCATCAGAAGCTGTTTTCTTTTTTGTTGTGTCCAGTTTCCAATTATATTATAGGATGGTAGTCCTTAAATTCTTTAAATTTTTACTTATATTACTTTTCTGTTTTGAATTAATGTAATTTACCTTGATTGTTATGAGTTGGTAGCTGATTCTGTTTGCTTTTGGGTCCAATTCTTAAAGAAGAAGGCTTTTGGCTTCGAGTTGTTCTTCAATTTTCCAGAAAAAGAATTCATCTTTGAGTTATGTCTTATGTTATTTATGAATGATGTTTAATTTGTACTTGAGTGAGCACAATTAATAACGCGTTTTCTATAAATACATAGAGTCGGTTTCTGTTTTTGCAGATTATTTTATTTTATTTTTTCTGGATTGAATTTTCATTGTTGATCGGAATAATGAAATTTTGTTTATTTTATTTTATGAAATAGTAAACTTAAAAAGCAAGCAAACATGAAATTATGTTGCCGTTAATAATTACATTCACTTCTAGGACATGCCATGAGTTCATACTCTCAATTTGGACAACTTATTTAAATGTGTAATTCAAATTCACAGTCTAAAATTGTTACGAGTTATCGGCGTACACGTTTTTCTGCACAATACATGTGAATGCAACATATGTAACTTAAAAGCAAAGCTCAGAATATATATTTTATATATACAATCTATCTATTACACTATTCCTTCATGTCTTGACACATGTAGTTGTCTGTAAAATTCTCAATTTTCTAATTTTTTTTAATTACCATCAATAATTCAGGAAATGTCAGCTCAATCACTGGACATGCTGGTCTGCTCAAAATCCCAACAGCAGCAGCAAGACAGGAAGCCAAGGCCTCAGCCAGAACAAGCCCTAAAGTGTCCAAGATGTGACTCCACAAACACAAAGTTCTGTTACTACAACAACTACAGCCTCTCTCAGCCCAGGTACTTCTGCAAGTCCTGCAGAAGGTACTGGACCAAAGGTGGCACCCTCAGGAATGTTCCTGTGGGTGGAGGCTGCAGGAAGAACAAGAGATCATCGTCGGCGAAACGAGCTCAGGACCAACCGCTCACACCCAATTCCAACCCACTCCCAGCCCTAGGTTATGACTCAAATGACCTCACCCTTGCATTTGCCAGGCTCCAAAGGCAGCAGTCATGTGGTGGGCAGTTAGGGTTTGATGACCATGACCACATTTCTCTCTTGGGAAATCCCACAAATGCCCCTGATCATAACATTCTTGGAAACCCTAATTCAGCTCCTAGGTTTCTTGATGCACTGAGGACTGGGTTTCTTGAGACCCACAATGGTAATTTCCAGAACTTGTATAACTATGGGTATGGGAATGGGAATTTGGGTGAGGTGGACAATTGTGGTGGCGGAATGGGAATCCACCACCCATTTGAAGAAGGCACCACCAACTCAACCACCACAGCAGTGACAGTTACAACAATGAAGCAAGAACAGTTCAATGCCCAAAGTGAGAGCAGCAACAGAGTTCTGTGGGGGTTTCCATGGCAGATGAACGGTGGAGATCATCATTCAAACATGGTGGGGAATAGTAATCATGAGTATGATTCAGGAAGAGAGAGCTGGAATGGGATTGCTTCATCTTGGCAGCATGGACTTCTGCACACTACTCCCCTCGTGTAATAAAAACGCTTGAGCAGCTAGGTTTTTTAATTTAGTGTGTTGGTGATCACCAAGAAACAAAAACTATGAGAAAAGCATAAGTTTTAATTTAATTTGTTCACTTAATTATCAGACTTAAATGTCAGTTTTAGTGCTTCTACGCTTTGTACTAATTAGTTATAACTTATATATCTTTTGTATTTCCATCTACCTTTTATTGGTTCGTAAACTAAAGAAATCTCATGTTTGCAAGTGATTTTTCTTATCACTAATTCATTTCTTGACGAATATTTATTAGACAAATGAATCATTTTTTAAACACAAACAAATATCTATTAAGTCGTATACGCTACTAAAACTAAAAACTCGGTTGACTAATTTTTTATATCAAATCATTCATGCATTGTATTACAAACAATAAAACATAAATACATTAACTAGCGCATAAATAATAATTTCATCATCACCAATCTGCTAAATATTACTCAATTGTATAGTCTGAACACCACTGGAACTATTTTAATTGCGACAGCGAATCCATGTATTTGTTAAGAAACTTGCAAGGTTTGCTAAAGAAAAGGGTGGTGGGGGAGAGAGGGGGAGAGAGAGAGAGAGAGAGAGAGAGATGTTTCATGGATTGTGCAGTCTGAACTGTCTGATTGATATAAAAGCCAAAGTAGTTGCAGCAGCAACAGGCTTTGGATTTGGAGTTAGTGGAGTTTTCAACATATTCCGCTATGATTACATCTTATTTTCAGGTAGATATTCTTGGAATATTTTAATCTCGGGATTATATTAAATTACCTAGGAATAAATTAATTATATTATAATTGAGACTTGATAGGGTTTCTCTTCTCCCGGAGCAATACAAATTTCAGTGAAGCATGACTGCATGAACCACCATTTTCTTGCTCCATTTTTTATTTTTATTTTATTTATATTATAGCAGACCAAATCTAAGTTAGGATTTGGGCGTGAATTAGTCAGCACCGCAGCATCCATTTGAAAATTCATTGGGGCAGTTGTGCGACTTGCGTCTCGTTTTTTTATTTTAGTAGATAGTTTTATTAATTAATTAATTTTATTTGACTGAGACATTTGAATTGGAAGTGCGACAAGATTTTCAAATGGTTTAATTTTTTAAGCACCAACTTACTCCAATTTGATTTTATATGATTTGGTATGTTTGGATTGTGTAGTGCTGAGAGTGACAGGTGTCGTTAATGACAAATCGTCGTTATTCACGATCGCCAAACATGCCCTACAAAGTTTGTCCAATATTTCCATATTATATTATATGTGAAGGCATTCCAATTTGTTACATCTGTGAAATGGTTTTGTCAAAAATAGACGAAATCTTCTTGTACCATTTGCTTTTGGTAAGTATGAAACCTGTTTTTTCCCCCCAAAATTTGTATGAAGTTTGAACTGAAATCTGATGGACAATTTTATTCTTTTTGATCAACATGGATGCTTTTGTTCACACTTAAAAGCATCCATGTTGATCAAAATGCAAATTTGAACCACATTATTGCTAGCCCATTGTAAGGCTTAGCCCACCCCCTTCTCCGTGTAGATAATATCGTCTGTAAAAAAAAAAAAAAAAAGATTAGTGTGTTGAAGCATGTGATGGGAGAGTCTGAAGTTAGGGCTGGCCCTAAGAATTTGGGGCCCTAGGCAAGCGCTGAAAATGGGGCCGCGTTCTCTGATACCAGACCCTTTGTACATTGATATGTATAAAACGTATAAATAAATACATGAAAAAGTTTATTTCTATATCAATTATCATTAAAATTAATATCAAAAGAAGAAGGATATACGAACACTACTTAAACATCAAATATGTCGCTTTTTTTAGACGCAAATGTAGTAATTAAGCTATTATTTTGCGTTTTATTCGAGCACACACGCGCGCACTCACACATAAAATTGGAGGGCTCTATACGACCTGCCTACTCCGACTACCTTTAGGGTTGGCCCTGTCTAAAATCATACTTAGACTCCATCCATCTTCTGTTCCAGTGAAATTAAAGTATCCATCACAAAGTCAGATTCCAAAAAACATGGTATTTTGGCAATATGTTTTGTTAATTTGTATAAGATTGAATTCTTTTTATGTATTGGAGATGGAAATTGTTTCCAAAACACTCCATGAAAGTCATAATCGTGTTTGGAATTTAAACTTAAAAGGTTTTATGACACTTCGAAATTGTCAGCTTAGCTATATCAATTTTTAATCTTTTAAGTTCAAGAATTTAAGATTAATAATTTCAAGGGTAAGTGGTTAATAGCTTTCAACATTATTAATTAACTGTTTTGTTGTCACTTGTCAATGCCAAATTAGGACTTTTACCTTTTTTTTTGTCAAACGAAAGAGAAGTTTGATTAAATTCGAATGGAAACGTTTACATCAGAAACCAAGATGTTGAATAACCACTCTAGCTTAAGACAATCCCACCTATGAAGTATGAAGGCCATCCTTCTTTGAAATAAAAGAAGTCACTAAATGTGTTGCCGTATTACAATCACCAAATCGATTAGATCAAATTTCAAAGAATCCCACGATTCCATATATTATTAACCGTGTTTTTTGTTTGTTTAATTGTTGAAAATTTCATCTCGTACGGCTCAAACAGAAACACCCAAATACTAGTTGTAAGCAATATCACCATTTTTGTTAAATAAGATACCAAAGTGGATGATTGAACATTTAGTTCATGTCACTATTCCCGGATCCAGTGAAGAAAACGTTCGATGGAATAATTTCTTAGATGTATAAATACTGACCAGGCCGGGCCCTCCATTTATTGTTCCAACGAATCATAAATATTTTTTTTTCTTTAACTTGAAAACTAAAATACTTGCTTGTTATCATGATTGGAAAAATAAAAACTCTTGATTTCTAGAGCAAACAGAAATTCTACTGACCTTGTTGTCTTAAACGCCTAATATCGTATAAGATACTTTCAAGGAAAGATCAAATGCAAAACTTCTACTTGTGAGTGAGTGTTTCGTTGGACGCTGGATTTTCCTCCTTCAAGGTGGAATAGATCAAATGCTTTATTTGTTATTAATCAGTTGATAAAATGCTTTATTCATTATTGGGCTTTTTTCTCGGCCCAATTGGTTAGCTGAAGTTGGGTCAACCACACAATGGGCTAGCAATAATATAGTTCAAATTCGCATTTGACCAGAATCGAACCTAAGACTTCTCACTTAGAAGTGAACAGCATTACTACTAGACTGTAGTACTAAGTAGTTAAACACACTTATGCAAGTAACAAGCTAGTGAAAGTGGAAAGCACAAGAGCTCTGACTAATTATGACTAGGATGCCAACATTTTGACAAACCATTCTTCTATATTCAAGACCTGATTATACATGTCAATCAGAATAAACAATGGTCATTCAACTTTTGTTGTACTTTCTCCTTCACCGTTTAATTAGATTGGACGGCGAGTAACCACAATTGTATTAAACACGAAGGTTAGGAGAATGGGACTCGAGGAGAAGTACCAATATCGAATAAGATTGAGGATAGGAATATTAGAATCCATAACCCTCAGACGAAACATGTATAGCACTCTGAGAGAAAGTTTCCTATGCCACTGCGGTGGTTCCCAATCTAAATGACAGACGGCCTTAGGTACTAGGTTTTTTCACATGCCACAGTATAATTGGCTCGAGAGAGCCACAGTAACATCCCCATCCCCGAGTAATTGGGGAGAAGAAATATTGATGCTGTTATTCAGAGAGTACATAGTACATCTAGAGTACGAGGAAAATACTAATTTAAAACAAATAGAGTATTCAGTTAAAAACATATGTTCTAATAAAACTGCAAATTCAGAACCCAAATGGAACACCACAAGGGGGGTTAAACACAGTGGGGGCATTGAGGGGGAGCAAAAAGTGCAATCACACAGGCTCCGAATTTGAAGAGTCCCAAAAAATTTTGCCATCTAAATTTATATATAATAATGCTACATATTAAAAAAGTTGTTTTTATTAGCACTTTAAAATCTCATTGCACTCCTTATAGGTGTAACTTTTTTTTAATATAAAAATTTGGAGCGCACAATTAGATATTTTAAGTGTTGATAACAACCTAAAAAACGATTTTTCTTCTCTTTTCAATTTATTTATATAATAATGTTATGTATGTTGTAGTCTTAATCAGATTAGGAATGTGATTGTGTAAATCTTAAGAATTTCTTATAGGATTTATGGGATTCTACCATATTGTATCTTTTAATATTATTCTATTAGAGTTGTGATGCCAATTATTCTATTAGAGTTATAATCCTATTGGGGTAATATTTTATTGGAGTAAGGAATTAACTTTTCCTACTATTATAAATAAAGGTCCAGTGGGGGTGAGTAAACACCTTATAATTCACCCAATTCAATTCTCAATTCTCTTTATGCTTGCCGCACCCTCTCTCTTAATCTCTCTATAATTCTTCCGTCAAAAAGGCCTACAACCATGTATTCAAGTGAACTTTGAAATTAGAATTTTTGAAGCTTTTTTTCTTGTTTGGTTGTTTTAGATTGAAATGCAATGATTATTTGGTGCAAATTATGATTATACCACTTTTTACTTTATGAAAACTATCTTATAGAAGGGCCCTTATATAAATTTTGCTCCCGAAATTCCAGAGTCGGCCCTAGATAAACAATGCGCAATTCACTACGAACAGTAACAGAATCGCAAACTCAGAACCCAAATGGAACACCACATGGGGGTAAAACAATGCGCAATTCGCTACAAACAAGAACGGTGAACACAAACAATTCACTACGAAGGAAATGAAAATCATATTTAGCGCCAGAAATTTCCATCATTAAAACATAAGCATCCGAACATAGAGTAAGGGAGCAGGAGAAAAGGGAAACAACAAGGGCATGAAATGCTGACAAAATTGTCTCTAAACCAAAATGTCCAAGTAGCATAACAGATAAAACATTTTATAAGAAATTTAAGATCTTGGCTTCTCCTTCTTCTCCTTGAAGAGGGCAAGAAGTGACACACCTGAAACCTTGACGACCTTGAACCTAACTCCGGGAATATCACCAACAGCATGGCCCTTACGACCAAATCCAGCAATAAGAACCTCGTCCTGCAAACGGCCACAATAATCAGTACAACGGAAAAAAGCCTAAACAAGCTAAGATGATTTCACATGAATGCCAAATTCTGGCAACAAATTTTTTCTCCACTATCTATACTCACATTCTCTTCAATGTAGTTCAAGC